TAAACTACTGTAAGCCGCCCTGAGCCGCCTAGGCGGGAGGGCGGGGTAAAAGTCTAATAAATAAATAAATAAATAAGTAATTAATAAATAGCTTGAGCTATCCAACTCCATAGAGACGAACACAATAAGTTTATACCCTGGAAAGTTGTGGTTATTGGACTAAAATTTTGTTCTGCAAATCATGTTGTTGCTGTTACTATGTTATCTCAAGAATAAAAACATCACCAGAACCTCCTCCGTCTCTCTTCTAACTAAGGGCAGCCATCAGGGTAGAGATCTTAGTAAACAAACAAATTGCTAATAAAGCTGGGGGGATGCGGAAGGGTTTAGTATAGACTGATCTCATCAGATCTCAGAAGCCAAGCAGGGTTGGTACTTGGATGAGAGACCGCCAAGGAAGACTTTGCAGAGAGGGCAGTGGCAAACCACCTCTGCGCAATCCTATGGGGTCGCCATATGTTGGCTGCTGGGGCACAGTAATGCTGTTTTGAGTGTTGGAGTCTGTAGCATAGCTTCCTATCAAAGGTTGATTGACCTCCCTTTACATTCCCAGACCTTTGGTCTTCCTCATTTCTTCAATGAAATTGAGTGTGCTTAATGGTACACTGGAGGATTCTTTTTATCTGCCACACTACAAGAACATTTCACTTTAATCACCAGTATGAAATGCCACTGCTCACCAAGTAATCCCAATTACTCTGGATAGGGAGCTCTCCACCAGGCCATGGTGAACTCATCATCCAAATGAGCAGTGACCCCCAAGCTAATCGGTCCTTGGCTCGGTATCTGTGTTTGAGTAGCTTGTCATACTGTATGATGGACTGACTGCCAATTTACTCAGAAGCTCTTCTTCAGCTCAGAATGTTAACTGGAATTTTTAGACCGGCATGACTGGCAGGCTTCCTGCCAGGCACTCTAAGGCAGAGCTCTGTAGAGGCATACTCAGAAGTTCTTTAATGTTAACCCCTTTATGAAGCTTTTCTTGAGCGCTGTGAATACACAACCAGCCAATCTGACCTTTGATTGGTAAGTATCTTCTCTATTTGGGTTCTTTTGCACTTGTCTGGATAATTCTATACAAGAGTTCCATGTGACTGCTGTCCCCAATCCAGATTTAAAACTCACTTGTTTCTAGTGGTACTTTATGAGGCGGGGTGGGAACCTTGTAATTGAATTTCAGAATGGATATCCATAATCTCATAAACCTGAGTGAAAAGTATGCAAACGGAGAGTGATTTCAGCAAAGCGTACTTTATTCTATCCAGAACAAGATGACTTTGGCCGGCTCGCAGGCTGGCTTAAATCCCCCGAGAAACCGCCACCCAAACCACACCCCTACTTCCCTATAGGTTATTTACAGTGACCGAGAGTCCCATAGGCTCTCGGCCGGGAACCTAGCCCCCTGATTGGAGCGGGCTAGGATCTGCATAGTCCATTGTCTCTTGGAGCGAAGCTCGACGTTTTTCTCTGGACTTGTCTGGACTGGATACATTACACTGAGTTTGTAGGATTTCAGCAGTTGTATGTAGGACTCCACACACACAGCCTTGCCTCTGACTTGGGGGGGGGGAGGTTGCTGCATCGAGCAGTGGACTCATTTGTGCTTGCAATCCCTCATGCATGTTGAACCAGGTTTCTTTGTGTATTAAACCCCGAGCTGGATTGTGTCAGAACCCACAGCCAACAACGGAGTACACACTTCTTGGAAAGGTTATACTTTTACTGAAGAGTCATAGATGCATTAACACAGTCACTGTTAAGAATAGCAGTTGTCTCTTGAACCTAATGAGATATAGGGCATTCGTATGCACACACACACACACACCCACTGCGCTGTCCAATTAGGCACCCTCCCCCACGCGGGCTAAAGCCAGCAAACTGTTACTATGCGAAGCTGGGAATTGTTCGGCTCCCATAGCTTGCCTGGAAGGCAGACAACACACACACCCACCTGTACTTATTTAGAGATAAGCATTTCAGCGCAAAGCAAGAGAGAGAGAGGAATGTGAAAGCAATTTACACAGACAGTGAAAGAACATCCCAACCCCCATGGCAGCATAGCTGACAGATTGAGGCATGCATTTTGAGGGAAACAGAGGGCCTCTGGAGGAAGCTAAGACCAGCATTTAAAAAAAAGAAAATCTAAGAGATGAATTATACTGCAGCAGAAGCATGCACAAGGTTGTTTTGTTGATCAAGCCCATTCTGAAGAAATGAAGCTCTTGTGCAACATTGTCAGGTGTTATGGCCATTAGCCATCACTATTTTTAAATAACTCCATATTTAAAGATTAAAATGAATCACAGTAAGGGACTGGAGTCCCATGAATTATGACAGCGTTGCAAGACTAGAACTGAAGGCTTTCACTGTACTGGGTAGCACCTGGCTGGGGCCATATGGCAACGGGGCAACCAGTTCAAGCCATTAGCAAGTTAGTTTTTACATTTTGTTGCCACCAAGCCTCTCCATTCTCAACACCTGATTATAGGGTTGATCTCTCTTCAGTTTGGACACCTGACTTCTAGACCTGGCTTGGTTGGTTGCGCCTACACTGTGGTATGCTAGCAACAACAAGTGCCAATTAAATTTCCCCATGCCCTAGGTTTTTGCAATCCATCTTGGTTTCAGTGTAATTAGAAAAGGGCTCTGCTCCCATTTAGAGCATTCATCTCTTGGAGAGCTACTCTTAATAGTCCTGACATAACCTGAACTGCTGAACTAGTTGAATGGATAGATTTCAGCAGAAGAAAGTTGGAGTTCAGTCGACCAACAAAGTTTTATTCAAGGTATAACCTTTTTGTGTGCATGCACACTTCTTCAGATACAACAAAATGGAAATTACCAGTCAATACATATAGCTAGAAGGTGAGCAGTAAAGTAGCACACAGATTCAAGGGCCAAACAGGAATAACAAGCTTAGTTATATGGTTACCGTTTGTTTAATTCTGAGGGAAACACAATGAAGGAAATAAATATTGTCAAAATTGGAGATTGATGGGCAGATGTATCCTTAATTGTGGAATGCTGAGTGTAGTTAATGAAGACCCTGCCATTATGCTCCATCTGTCTCCTCTCAAGCATGGAGGTGATCTTACAGCAACCTTACAGCCCCCAGACCAGAGGACTCCATTCCAATCTACCATTCCAAATTACATTACATTCTACTATTCATTATGTTACATTACAATCTACTATTCTAAACTATCATTCTAAATAAATAAAATAGACATATAGCCCTTCTGGAGGGGGGGGGTTGGTGAGAATACAGATGTAAGGACTGAATGAGGTCAGCATAATCCATCATCTGTGTAGCAGGGTTGCCAACCTCCAGGTGATGGCTGGAGCTGTGCTATTACCACTGATCTCCAGGTGACAGAGATCAGTTCACCGGGAGAAAATGGCTGCTGCAATGTGAAGGTTGCAAAGGGACTTGCAAATATATGACATACACCACAATGCAGCTCCTGAAAGCATCTTAACCGGGCACAGTATGATACTATTGTTTTGCACCAGACCTTGCTAGGGGTTTACCTGGGAAACTTTGAAAAGCCACCACTGGAGTTTAGCTCATGGGACACACCTCTCTGAACATGGCGGACTTGTCGTTTAGCTGTCCTTCTGTGTGGACAAGAAGTGGCTGCCTCGGGGGCCCTGGCTTCACGTTCTTTGGCTCCCAGTTAGTTGTAGCTTGTGAAATGACACTCTGGTGGCTGCAAACTAGAGATGTGCAATTTTGTTATTGTTTTCATTTCAGGTTCCAAAAATTGCATTTGTTTTTTAATAATATGACCACACGCTTGCATTCATTGTTGTACTTGTTTTGTTACTGTTCAGTCCTCTTCTTTTCCTCATCCTTCCTCAAGTCACAGAGATGCTGATTGGGCTCCCCCAGGAGTCAGCCTCTGCAGCCGTGCGAGGGCTCTGGGCTCCAACACCTCTGCCTTATGGCGGGTCAGGCACTGTGTCTAGAAGCTCCGGGCTCCCTTTCCCAGGTTGAACTGAGGCAACTGAGGGGGTGGGAGACAGGTCCTCTGTCCTAGCTGTCGGCTTGGGTAGGGTGGCCGACTCTGAGTTGGGAAGTTCATGGAGATTTGGAGGGCACAGCTTGGGGAGGGGAGGGAGCTCAGCAGGGTGCAATCAGCAGTGTTCCCTCTAAGCTGAGTTAGTGTGAGCTAGCTCACAGTTTTTTAGCCTCTGGCTCACACCTTTTTGTCTTAGCTCAGGAAGGATGGCTGCAGAGCAAACTAATTTATGCAGCAGCCAAATCACTTGCTCACAACTTTAATGCCAGTAGCTCACAAAGCAGAATTTTTGCTCACAAGACTCCACAGCTTAGAAGACGTATTGGTGCAATGCCATACAGTCCACTCTCCAAAGTGGCCATTTTCTCCAGGGGAACTGACCTCTGTGATCTGGAGAGGAGTTGTAATTCTGGGAAGTCCCCAGGCCCCACCATCTGTTTAGAGCTGCCTTGCAACAGTTCAAAGCACCTGCCAGATGCAGCACTGTAAGTTTTGTGGGGAGGGGAAGGGGGAGGAAGATGAAATAGTGAATATATGTTCATCTGCCATTATTGCCCTTTTGTTTTGTTGCAAAAATGACTGAAACAAATGGAACTTTTTCACTGCCTTCAACAATATGGGAGAGAGATCTTCACTCTATCCCCATGCCATTTTGCTGCTAAAAAGTCCTTTTCCACAAGCTGCCTTTCCCCCCTTGTTGCCAAAAAGCAAGGGAAGAGAGGAGGAGTTTTAGTAGAAAAATGAAATGAGGGAAAGAGGCTTTTTAAAAAAGCCACCCTCCATGCCTAATGCTAGTCTTTTGCTTTAATTTGTCCGAGACAAGGAAGCTGTATGTGTTGGAATATGCAAGGTCTATTGTGCATATATCAAGAAAATGATGAGAACATCCAGCAGGAGGCAGCAGAGGGGACATCTAGTAAGCATAATAAGATTAGGGACTGCCTACTGTTTTCAAATAGTCTCCATCCTGTCTCCTGATTGGCTCAGTTGGGGTTTTTCTTGCTCCTGCTGAGATCTGTTGGTTACTGGCTTCCTTCTAGTTAGTTAGACAGTTAGATTTCTCTTTTCACTTTCTTACAAAGTTTGTTCTCTTTGTAATAAACCGGCTTTATTCTTTAAACTGCTCATGTTTCAGTCCAGGCTGTGGTTATTTTAGCATTATCAGAATATTTAAAAGCTGACACTCTTTAGGAAAGCTGGACCTTGGGCTATCTTCAATTAGGTGTGGAACAGAAAAGAGGAATCAGAAGTCTGAACCGATGCCATATAGACACTGTCTCCACAGTTCTGTCTCTGCTAATAGATGTCACGTCTGTTATTCTGTGTTTGCATGCAGGATTCTGCACATCTCAGAATTGGCTCTGTGGAAAGGAAGTGCCCGCCCAGGGATGGTGGCCTTCCTTCCTTTGTGGACGGTTGTGGTTTCATTTGCAGAGGATTCAAACACTGAGAAGACTTCTCTGTGAGGATTAAAAACAAAACAAAACTGACATTAAGTCTGATTTTGATCTAACATTTAAGCATTGATGGGATGGATTCTGGACTGCATATTACAGCATGATAATGCACGTGAAGCACTCTGAACCCTCGTTAATGCTGAGTACTGTTATGATGCCCTGACCTGGATAGCCCAATCTTGCTAGATCCTGGAAGCTAAGCAGGGGCCAGCCCTGGCTGGTATTTGGATGGGAGACCTCCAAGGAATACCAGGGTTGTGATGTGGTGCCAGGCAATGGCAAATCACCTCTGAATGTCTCTTGCCTTGAAAACCATAAACTTGATGCACCCCACCCCCCAATCTGTTATAACACACATGTAAAAATGCTAATTGGAAAGAATACTACACACACCCAGGGGTCATTTCGTAGAAAAAGAGCTAGGGGAACTCATTAGCATAACTCATTAGCATATGCCACACCCCCTGACATCACCGGAAGTGTGTCATAAGGCCACACCTCCTGACATCACTGGAAATGTGTCATAAGGCCACACACCCCGCCCCCAACGGTCCCGGCTGCCGGTGCCGGCCTTGCAGCTCCGCTGCCGAGCCCCATGAGGGGCCCGGCGGTGGACCTGCAAGGCCGGTGGGAGTGCAAGGAAGCCCCATGAAGGCCCTCCCTGGCCCCAGGCAGGCAGGGGTGGGGAGAGGCAGGGAGGAAGCAACTTACCCTCCCTCTTCTCCTGCCTCCTCCTGGCTGAATGAGGGCTGGAAGCGGGGCAGCCAGAAGCAGGGGGCGGGGCTTCATCATGTGCCCCGCCCCCATAGGGGTTGGGGCTTCGTTATTTGCCCCGCCCCCCGTACCTCACCCGGGGGAACTACGTTCCCCCGCGTCCCCCCCCCGAAATGGCCTCTGCACACACCTAAGGGGTTATGGATTCCCCAAGGTGTTGAAACTGTATCTCATGATGTTGCCCTATGCTGAATCAGACCCTCAGTCCGTCAAGGTCAGTATTGTCTATTCAGACTGGCAGCAGCTCTCCAGGGTCTCAGGTCAGGGTCTTTCCCATCACCTACTTCCTGGTCCTTTTACCTGGAGATCCCAGGGACCTGGGTCCTTATGCATTGCCAAGCAGATGCTCTGTCAGTGAGCCACAGATAGATTAACATAAGAACATAAGAGACGCCAATGTTGGATCAGGCCAAAGGCCCATCCAGTCCAACACTCTGTGTCACACAGTGGCCAGAAATACCAGTGCCATCAGGAGGTCCAGCAGTGGGGCCAGGACATTAGAAGCCCTCCCACTGTTCACCCCCCCCCCCAAGCACCAAGAAGACAGAGCATCACTTGCCCCAGAGCCCCTAGCTATACCTTGTGGCTAATAGCCACTGATGGACCTCTGCTCCATATGCTTATCTAATTCCCTTTTGAAGCCATCCATGCTTGTAGCACCCACCACTTCCTGTGGCAGTGAATTCCAAGTGTTAATCACTCTTTGGGTGAAGAAGGACGTCCTTTCCCATGCATAATCTTATAAACCTCGATCATGTCACCCCTCAGTCGTCTTTTCTCCAAGCTAAAGAGCCCTAAGCGCTTTAACCTTTCCTCATAGGGAAAGTGTTCCAACCCTTTTATCATTTGAGTTGCCCTTTTCTGCACTTTTTCCAAAGCTATAATATCCTTTTTAAGGTGTGGTGACCAGAACTGCACACAGTATTCCAAATGAGGTCTCACCATTGATTTGTATAGGGGCATTATGATATTGGCTGATCTGTTTTCAATACCCTTCCTAATAATCCCCAGCATAGCATTGGCCTTCTTTATTGCAGTCACACACTGTCTCAACATTTTCATACACAGAATCACCTAAAGCAAACTGCATTGGGAAAACAGTGTTCACAGAACGCATTCGGGGAGCAATGTAATGTATCAAAGCCAAACTAAAGTTCCTGCAGGTGCGAGGATTTTCTTGCCTCCTCCCCTCCTGCAGCAGCCCCAAATGCCCCCTAATATCCTGTTCTTGGGGAAGAGGAGTTGCCCAGTAACAGGACTGGGCAATGTTTTGGGCCACTACAACCAGAAATGGTGCTCTGTGGGCAGGGATCCTTGTGCCAATGGAAATTAGTCTAGATCCCAGCATGTTACTTTTGAAACTTTGAGTTTGTCTTTTGAGAAATATATTTCCTAGAATCGTTAATTTCCCATTTTGCATGTTGGACGTAGTCTTAATGTGGTATTAGTCAGAGGACATGCAGCACTTCACAGTTCTCCTCCTTCCTCTGCAAACTGCTTTATGCTAAGAGACATTTAACTTTGAGATCTTGTGGCAATTCCCATCTGCAACCTGCCCTCCAGAGGAGTCTAGTTTTGAGTCCCAGGAAATCAAGAGTAATAATTTATACAGTGTCAGATGGGAACACGGTATTTCATCCAAGGAAGAGGGTGAGGCTGTTACACAATGCCCCTTTTTCCTTATTGCTGATGAATCCTAAACCTGTGGGTGATATTCCTCTCACACATCTCTAAGGAGGCTGAAAGTATCAAGGCCTTTTGCTGGGAACGAAGCTTGAATTAGCCCTGGGAATCTTGCCAAGTGTGTATCTGCTACTATTGCCATAAAGCAAGAGAAGACTGCTTTGGGTCTATTTATGTCAAGAGGCGTCCATGAAAGATTTATCAGCAAGAGCAAAAAAACTGTGATGTTGTGTCTGGCAGAGGAAATGAATCTTGGCACTAGATGCAGCCATAACAGTACCACAGAAGGGATTTATTGCCATAACACGGTAAAAAGAGAAGCCAGCCTTCTTTGTATGTAGCGCTCCACTTAATGTTCTGTGATCAGGTATCACTGAAGCCATTAACTTCCCCATGACCTTTGCAGATGATAGTTCAAAGAGAACCTGTGCTAGCTCAAATGGCGGGTACTGAAACCATTATTACTTGTTCCCAAAGTCAAGGCCAATAAAACATGGGTGCCCTAAAGCGAGGGAATACCCCAGCCTTCCTTTGTATGCCAGTTGTGTTTGCATTCTTAGCAAACTCTTGTTCTCATTACTTGGTTGAACTCAGGCCATAAAGCAGTCCAGGATGTGGGGCATATTCCCATGTCAAAAGCAGCAGGCCGGCAACTGGCAGACCATTACAGGGTGGCAGAATACCACATCCAGCCTAAGCCAGTCCAGAACTGCAAGGCAACAAACCTGGGTTTCCAGTTCCTATCCAACAGTGGCAGCCAGTCTCAGATCTCTGCCAATTGTAACAAGCATCATTTGTGTCCATGTCTAGAGGTCTTTCTTCCAACTGGAGGGCTATATGTTACCTGCAAGAGCCGTTTTCCTCTGTCATCTGCAGACACATGAGATTCTCAGAAAGATGTAGAAAAGCATTAAAATTTATGGCTGTTTCTAATTCTGACTGGCTTTGGACAGTGGCTTGAAAGAATGGGGCATCCACTTCTGCTCGGAAATCCATGATCACTGCAGCCCTGTAATGGGAGAAAACGCTCACATGTGCAATGCTTTTTCAAGGAAGTTGGCTGTCTGCGGTTGCCTAAGTTCACAGAATCAGCATTGCTGTCAGATGGGCATCTAGCCTCTGCTTCAAAGCCTCCAAAGAAGGAGAGCCCACCACCTCCCGAGGAAGCCTGTTTCACTGAGGAACTGCTCTGTCCGGAAGTTCTTCCTAATGTTTAGGAACTCTTTTGATTTTGAGGGAAACTGCTTTCTTCCATTCGTACCTCTTTGTTGGGCTTCTGAATCACTGTGGTGTGCTGTTTAAAATGTCCATAGCACTTCCTACAGTGCCACTCCCCCCCTACCCTTTTCATGGCATGATCTTCCTTAAACTCCCCCCCCAACACCCTAAGTTGAGTGCTATAGCATTAAACCAGTATAGCACTTTAAAAAAAGAAATAGAAAAAATGGGGGGGAGAAACCCCCCCAAAAAAAACACCAATATAGCACTTCAGTGCTACAGCAGTACTGTTGAGATGCCTTGGCACCACTATATCAATCTAACGCTATAGTACTCAATTTAGAACATTCAAAAAATGTTTGAGAAAGATTGCACTGTGAAAAAGGGTAGTGGTGGGGAAGCCGTACTGTTTGAAATGACCATAGTGTTTCAGTGACAGCTCATTAATGGAAGGAAATTTGCTGCATGAAACCCCTGTCCATCCCTGGATCACTTTACTTGGAACTGGGCCAACAACAGATAACATCTGGTTTAGAATGGTAATGTGAAAGGGGCCTTATACATCTCCATCCATCACTAAGGACCCATTGCTAAAAGGGAGGGGGAAATTTCTCCGAATGCTCCCTGCTGGTGTATTGTCCTGCTTGAATTGGAAGTAGCTGACAAAAGAATCTTATTCAGCTAGTTTGGCCAGCAAAAGGGAAAAGCAGAGAAGATGCTGATAAATGGAGGGCTAGATGCAGATATCTAATGCTACCCCCTTCAGCCTAAGAATAGTTTCCTCCTGTTCTTTTATTATACCACTGTGTTCAACTGTCCTCGTGTGCAGAAAGCAGCTTGGGAACAGATCTGAGCCACCTGTGAACAAGTCCAACTCCCCACTGAACAGTCAGTTCCCTGCTTGCAACAGGGTAAGCAGAACGTGTGCCAAACCAGCAGATGTTCAAGCATCTCTGTGTACACAAAGGAAGCTTTCACAACTTTTGCATCTGATTATTTGCTCACACAGAACTTTTCTGCAACGATCTTCCTGCCAAATAGCTTAATGCACTCCCTTCATGGCATTTATGAAGTTTAGCACCTTGTTAAAGGGTATATGATCACCAAAGGAACCACCATTTCCATTCTCTTATTCTTGCCAGGGGTCCCTAAAGCCAAGAAACCTTCTCCAAGTCTTTCTGATATCACCGTGCACTTTAGTTACCCTTTAAGAAGAGAATCACAGAGCAATCCTATCCTGGGAAATATGATTGCCAGTTACAGCTTGGGAAAAGCCTGACGACGTAGGACGGTGCTTGGAGAAGGCAAGGCAGAGTGTGGGGAGGGGAGCTCAGTGGGGATGTGATGTGATGTCCTGGCCGGAGATCAGTTCTTCCAACTCTCCCTTTATGTGAGGTCATTTCCTCCCCGCGAAAATTAAGATTTTAAGTCCCAGTTTCCCATCTCATATCACTTTCCCCTTCCTTTCCTCCCACCTTACATCTCCCGTAGGCTTCTGTCTGCACGTGTTCATAGAGGGTAGCCATTTTCCTGTTCCCAGTGGGAGATCCTCCACATTGAGCCCCTGACCCCCTCTATTCCTTGCCAGGCTGCCAGGGTCAGAAAACGACAAAAAGTTGCTGTCACACTGACAGCATGATGCCATTTCTGGGGTGAACCCAAAAATGACATCATGCTGCTCTAGGATTCAGGGGAAATGTTTCTGCAGAATCCAAGGTCTATGATGTCACTCCTGGGTTCACCCTGGTGCCATGGCAGTCCCTGCCCCCCAGTCTCCCCCTGGGCGCTAGCCTCTGTCTGGCAACCCAAATGTTATACAAATTCTTTGATCCTGTATATCTGTGCAGGCTGGTATCCTGTTACGTTACACACAACCTAAAAAACTCTCTCATTTCAGCTAGACTGTATGGTATAGTATCCAGTCTTCTCTCTGAATCTGCCATTCTTTCCAGGGAACTGCAATCTGGGGGTCGGTTGTAATTTTGAGAGAACTCCACGTCCCACCTTGAGGTTGGTAATCGTACTTGGGAATAAGCCCTGACCTGGATAGCCAAGGCTAGCCTGATCTCATCAGATCTCGGAATCTAAGCAGGGTCGGCCTTGGCTTGACAAAGGCAGGCTTCTGAAACGTCTCTTGTCTTTAAAAAACAGTTTGCCACCTAGTGGTGCATAACGCTAAAAGCTAGAACTTCTGGCTGCCAGACAATCTTAGGCTCTCCTGCTATACTACACATAATAATAATATTATTAATAATAACAACAACAACAACAACAACAATCCCTACCCCCCATCCCATCTCAAGAGGAATCCCTACCTAACACTTCTGAGTAAACCTCCTTGGGCTTGGGCTTCCACTTCCTCAAATTGGCATAAGGCTTCTGAACTTTTGCCAAAATTCCAATAAATCTCCTTTAGCCTTGGGAGAGAAAACTCAGGTCTTATCCACATACCTTGTTTTAATGCTCGTTTGGAACTCCTGCTCCCACAAATTTGCATTGATGTTGGCTGAAATGTCTAGTCCAACTCCTCCCTGAACAGTAATTACAGTTTGCAAGCCAGACTGAAGTGGGATTGCCTGTACAATACAACATTATGTGTTCAGTTACTGGATTATGCAAGTCTTTATCTAGTCTTTATCTAGAGCTGATACATGCTTTGAAGTCACATGGTGTGGATACAGGTCAACAGGCTGTTGTTCCTTTTTCTTTTTTTAACCTGCCTTTTTCTAAAGCATAAATTCAAAGTGGGTAACCAATTATTAAATCAATATCATGAAAACAACTAAATGCAAAAAAACGACCATCAAATATACTGTACAAATTAAACTCCTGAGGTTTTCATGTTTCACTGTACAACAGAGCCTCTGCAACAACCTCATAAGTTGCTATATAAGTTGCTATATGCATTCAGAGCTAAACCCTAGGCTTCTAAACATTTGTGCGGCTTGGGCGAAAGATTGAAAGTAGCTTTTCACAGTAGACAGAAATCTTGTAAAATATTAAGCTAGTTTCACTGGATCCATCTATAGCTGATATGATACAAATTCATCCTCCAAGTATATTGGACCTCGTCAGCTTGGTGAGGTTGAGCTTAAGGTTTTGGGACTGCAACAAGGAAACCTTCTTTTGTATGATGTGATCCAGCCCATTGAGAGCTCTACTGGGGCATTAAAAAAAAAGCAGATAAACTTTCTTTTAGATATGCATTTAGATGCGTCAACAGCAGCACATTTAGTGCTCCATTCATCCAGTGATTCATTTGGAAATAACCAGTTATGGATCCTGTGGGCAACAGCAATAGCCAAAGACTAGTCCTGTAGTGTTAGAAATCTAATTCCATGCCACAAATACAACTTTGGAAAGAAGGGACTTAGCTATAAAACAGTGCACAGTATTAAGAAGAAGAGATGTGTACAAGAAACATGAGGGCTTCCAGTTTATGGAGCAGCGATGGCGGACATTCTCCCAGGACCACCAGGGGGTTAGAGGGGTGCTACCTCAAGTAGCACCCCCACGGAGCCTTTGGGAGGGGCTCCAGGCCAGAGGGCTTTTGAGGGGTAGCCAATGGCGTAAAGCCGGAGAATTTGAGGCTCCCCTCCACCCTGATGGTCCAGCCGCTGCGTGGCCTTCTGGCACAAGCTGGTTTGGCCGGGACAAGTGCTGGAGATTGAGCGGAACAGTGTTGAAGCAAGCGAGGTCAGAGAAATTGACCAACAATGAACGTGAGTTCAAAATAAGCGGACGATTGTAAAAAGCAAGTTACACCCCACATAGGAAAGTGGATCGCAAAGAGGGACGCCTCTTATGCGAAAAGACTGATAAGCGAGACGAAGCGGGAAGGGGGAGGAAAAACAGTGAGTGTGTTTTGAGAGGCTTACTTGATTGCTGACAGCGTGGGAGCAATCTTTAGAGTCGGAGGGAAGCGTCAGAAACTGTAAACAAATCATAAAAAATGGCGGCCATGCAAAGAAAGCTAAAAACGAAACCACCTGGCAGCCAGAGCCCAAAACCGGAAGAGGGAGCAGACGTCATGAAAATGCTAGCGGATATGCTCAAGCCAGTGATGGAGCAACTTGATGGTATTAACCAGCAACTGACTGTAATGAATAAAAACTTTGCATCTCAGCAGCTCCAACTGAAAGAAACGGAGAAGAAGGTGGAGCAGGTAGCTGGGAAACTTAAGGAGTTGGACACCACAAGCAAGAAAATGAAGAAAAGAATGGGAGAAGTGGAAACAAAGCAAAATCTACAAGAAAACCGTTTGTTACAGCTGCAGATGGAAAAAGCCAACATGATTCTCAGATTCCAGGGAGTTCTTGAGGCATTGAAGGAGGACCTGAGGAAGATACTTAGCGAGATCATCGCTCCAGCAATAGGCTTAACAGTGGATGAACTGGTATAGGGCTTACTCCAATTACATTAAAATAATTAGCCTGCCTGGAGAAATTGTGGTCAGATTCTCAAGAAGACAGACCAGAGATGCTATTTTAAAGGCGACATCAGCAACTCCACTGAAAATGGGAAAGTTAATCATTAAAATTTTAAAAGACATTCCATTTGAAATTCGTCAAAAGAGGAAAAACTATAAGGACTTAATTTCTTTTCTTCAAACTAATGGAATTTCATATAGGTGGGCGATCACGGAGGGTGTCCTCTTCAAGATCAACGATAAAAGAGAAAAGATTGATTCCACCTTTAAAGCTAAGGAATTTTTGCAACGCCAGCTGGGAATGGACGAAGATTCCAAAGAGGAAGAAACGAAATCAAGTGACTCTGCCACCTCGGGAGCAGAGAAGGACTCTGCTGTGGAAACCGGAGCAGAGGCAGCCAGAGTGGTATATGACTTTAGAGACAGAAAACCGAAGTAAAGGCAGAAGGACTCTGAGAATTGCCTTTTGAAGCGAAGAATAAGATGATCAGAAAGCTCTCTCATAACAACTAACAAAATAACATGTTAACATTGAAGCTGAGACAAACAAGAACTCTACAAGTATATTGTTTTTATTACTACTACTACTATTACTACTACTATTTATTACTAACACTTTCACTAACAGGGATAAGATCTCCTCCTCTTGGGGTTTTAGTATAGTGTGGTTACCTTTTTTTTGTCCCTAGATGTAGTCCCCTTCCTTCATACTTTCTTTGTAGTTTGTAGTGTATTGCAAAAATAAAAATATCCCTCTGGGGATTTAAAAAAAGAAAAAAAGAAACATGAGGGCATTTGGTCAGACTTTTCTCAACTATATGGCTTGGGTTGGCTAGTTTCTTTGTGTGTGGAGGGACCTCATTTGTCAGGAATTTAATCATGGTGTCTACCTTTACTACATTTATCTTTTTAAAAAATGGCCATACTAAATGCATCCCCCCCCCCACAAGGACAATTCTTCACAACTTTGCAGCAGAAAACTAAAGACCGTCACTGGATCAAGTAAGCGTCCCAGAGGAAGGAGTTCCATAACTGCAGTGCCACAACATAAAAGCTCTTAGTGTTTCCTAGAAGATTTAAGAAATTCATGTCAGAAGCACCACTCCCAATACACACTGGTAACTGGAACGCTAATCCTAATGCACTATGCTGTCATCAAGGGTGAACACATATACCTGGTTTGCAATGTCCTTTGACTAATATCTCAGATTGTCAACAATGGGGATTTTGCTCATTCTGTTGATTTCAGTGGGCTGAGATTCTGCATAGGATTGTACTGTCCTGTTCACAATGCTTTTGGCACAAGCAAGACTTAAGCTGTTGGACGGATAGTCCACTCGTGACAATTCTTGACTGTTACCACGTGGCAAGACGTCATTGGAACATATGGAAAATGAAGTGCTAATACCTGTTGATGATCCATCAATAGCATATTCCCTTTTGTGACAGTGGTGGGCTCACCACTACTCAGTAGGACCTTGGCCATTAGATCTGTGTACCCTTGGAAGAAAGTGACAGGCCGTAACTGGACATCGAGCAAAACAGACGACATGCCAGCCATGAGTTCTTGCTCTTCTTCATCATCAGCGCTGCCGCCAAACATGCCTTCAAACCCTGCTACTTCAGTAACCACCTAGGAGACATTTTTTAAAAAAGGAAGTGTGATGCACAGGGCGAACACCTCTCTGCAATAGCAGCATATTTTCTTTTTTATACAGAATAATTTGTTCTTTAACAGAGTACGCTTTCCCCAGTGCTCAGCACTTCAGTTTTGGAGCAGGAAAGCCCAAAGGGCAAAGATGTTTCCACTCACTACAGCCAGACTCATCCCCCACCCCACCCGCAATCTTTCGTCTTGCCATCATATTGTGCCATTTGCCGCATTAGGCCTGTTGCCTGCAGGTAGGATTGGGCCTAGTGTGAATAGGACAAAGATGGAAGACCCTGCTTAAAGGTAAAGGTAAAGGTTCCCTTGCTCGAAAGCCAGTCGAATCCGACTCTAGGGTTGCGGTGCTCATCTCCGTTTCAAAGCCGAAGAGCCAGCGTTGTCCGAAGAAATTTCCGTGGTCATGTGGCCGGCATGACTAAACACCAAGGTGCATGGAACACTGTTACCTTCCCACCGAAGTGGTACCTATTTATATACTTGCAATTTCTTGCTTTTGAACTGCTAGGTTGGCAGGAGCTGGAACTAGAGACGGGAGCTCACTCCGTCATGCGGCACTCGGGTCTCGAACTGCTGAACTACCAACCTTCCACAGCCTGCAGTTCAGCGTCTTAACCACTTGAGCCACCGCAGCCTCCAAACCTAATTATCTGCTCACAGCCTTACACTTTTCAGACACCAGTGGTATTGTCAGTATAAAATGGTTCATTAGTGAATACTGATTTGGAGGCTTTTCTCTGTTTTTTCCAACGTGGGAGCACCGGGGCTCGTGCTTTGACAAAGTAAACTGAATGAATGATTTGGGGAAAGCTTAGGGTTGTCCAGTCCCAAGCTCTCGCTGGTGGGGGGGTGGGAGAGAGCTCTCTGGGAGTGGGGGTGGAGTGACGTTACCGTGTGCAACATCCCTGACGTCATGATGTCACGCCATCATGCTGGGGATGTTATTTATGTATTTACTAAATTTCTACTCCCCCCTACTGATGAAGCGGCTCAGGGCGGCTTACAAACAATTTAAAACCAACATAGAGTTTAAAACCAGCAAATACAAAATAAAATACAATTCATACAATTTCAATAAATACAGTTAGACTAACTAAATAAATACAGTGGCATCCTATAATAAAGTGCTAGTGTGGCCCCACCAGAGCAATCAGTTTTTATTGGAAGGCTTGGCGAAACAGCTCCGTTTTTACAGCTTTACAGAACTGCTGGAGTGTGGCGACACTCTGGTATTTTGGGCAAAACTCTATGGTAACCATAAAGTTTTGCTCAAAATACCAGAGTGTTGACACGTGACGTTCCTGACATGATCACTTCCATTTGACATCATCATGTTGGGGACGTCATGCCAGGCTGTGGCTGTTGGGGGTTGGGCTTCCCCCCACTGGCTAGCTGCCCAGCAGTAGGCAGGAGACCACGAAATTGGAGGATCCTCCGCTCCCACCTGGGGGCTGGCAACTCTAGAAAAGTTAAAGTGCTTTGCAGTGCTGTTGTGTGCAGAGTTACTCCAGTCTAAGCCACGTGGATTTACACTGCAGTAACTCTACTTTTTATTGTTTAGATATTTTTACTCTGCTTTTCTCCCGAGTGGGGACCCAAAGCAGTTTACAGCATTCTCCCCTTCTCAGTTTTATTCTAACCACCACTTGGGAGCTTGGGAGGGTGTAAAGGGGTGTGTGCCCATGATGTCACAGAACTGGGAGAGGGTGATGTTTTATGGCACCAAGACATATCTGAGTGTGACATCACAACATATCACAATAGGATTCCCCCCATCCCATCTCAAGAGGAATTCCTAGAGCATTGTGTGACATTGTGTTACTTCTGGTACTCACCTGGAGGTGACATCTCATCTTTGCACTGTCGGTTTCCCTGGTCTCTGCCTCCCCCAGTGCTTCTCCCCCAAAAGGCTCCTGTCTGGCAACCCTAATTCCAAGTCTCTGGCCCACGAAAGTGGAAAACTGGCCACACTGATGCATCACCCAGGCATTAATTTATGGCTGGAAATCTCATTGGTGCCATTATCAAGGAGCAGAAAACAGTGTGGCCTTCCCCCACACTTCCCCCCTTATATATAAAAGCCGAATGGTGGTGGCACTTCTCTAGAACATTCCACACGCTCCGGAATTGGTTGGCGCCCTGATGTGTCACTCAGAATCTGTCCCTATCCACTGGCAGCATTACTTGAGTCTCACCTCCAACATTCAAAACAGTTTGCTGTTCCTCTCCCCCCCATAGCCAGTCAGAACACAGAGGTTATTTGCATATGCAGCCTCATTGGCCTTTGCCTCGGAACACAGAAGTCATTTGCATATGTGACTTGATTGGCTTTTGCCTCTAACATTCTAAGCAGTTTGCTGTTCTGAGGTAAAATGTGTCCAATCTCCAGGTGAGGGCTGGAGATCACTCAGAATTACAACTGCTTTCCAGATGGCAGAGATCAGTTCCCCTGGAGAAAATGGTGGGCTCTGTATCCTTATATGCTGCTGAGGTGGCCCCCATATGACAGCCATTGTGACGTAGTAGTCAGGGCTTCAGAGCATGGGAGAGGCTGCAGGTGTGTGTGGGGGGTCGAAAGCTGAAGAGTGAGGGGAAAATAAAGGTAGGTTGGTGATTGGCTGGGAAGGAGATAGAGTTGCCAACTCCAGGTGGGAAATTCCTGGAGATGTGAGGGATGGAGCCTGGAGAGGGTGAGGTTTCAGGAGGCGTGGGACGTCGGACAGGTACAAAACCATAGACTCCACCTTCCAAACCAACCAGTCCCTTCTGGGGAACCATCGTTGCCAATCTCCAGGTGAGGGCTGGAGATCACTCAAAATTACAACTGTTCTTTAGGTAGCATAGATCAGTTCCTCTGGAGAAAATGGTGGACTCAGTGTCATTATACCCTGCTGAGGTCGCCACAGCACATTGACACTGAGTGTCCAAGGCCAGGACACCTGCCCAGAGCCTCTTTCTAGAGGCCGTTGTATTTATTTCCACGAGCCTTTTTCCTAGTCTAGCATAAAGCTAAGGTGACCTCTGAGCTGAAATTCTTGAGAGGTGTCTCAGACTTTCTTGTGGTGCAGGGACAGGAGGCAAGGGAGAAGATACATAGTGTAAGACCTGAGCAACTTGGAATCGATGGCCGTGGCTTAATATATTGAAACTGGTGCTGCCTTTCCTCAGGAGACCATTCTCTGTGAACAGGATCGTCTGGTCATAGGTAGAGAATATGTCACTGGTGACTGGAAGAGAAAAAGAGAACTCAGTATAAAGACATGTGTAGAGTTATGAGGAGAAATATAAACCCATATTTCAGATGATTTAAGAAAAGAGTAAATGTGTGTGGTGGGGGTGGGGGGTAACATGAGAACCATCTGGCTGGATCGGGAAAGTTCCTAGGAAGCTAGAAATGAGACACTAAGGGGGTGGCTTGTGGGGAGGCATATGTGGGGTTTCACTGACTCCAGAGGACTTGGAACTCAACTGGAGATTACATGACAAAAAAAGCAGAAAGATTTAAGAGCATTTTTTGTGATTACATTTCTTCACCTCAAAAGATTACACAGACCAGTCATCTCATTTTTTTCTGAGGCAAGAATATTGGTGCCTTTGGCTTGCTTACCTAGACTGGCTACAGTAGTAAAATTAGTGCCAAATGCCCAACATGCACAGGCTGTAGCTGTACAATTCAACAGATTTTGCCTTTTCATTCATTCATTCATTCATTCATAGACCTTTATTAGCATATCATTAGTCATAAGGTATATAAAACATTGTATCGTAAAATTAAAATCTAAGATTCCATACAAATTTAGTACAATCAAAATAGTACTATCTAAAATTTTGTACCTTAAGAACTTCAGTAAGAAACTTGGCAACATCATTACTGATCTCAGGGATCGAATCATTCAAGAGAAGTTGACATTTTAACTTGTTACTCAAATAACTTTTAGGATGAAGCCAAGTTAGAAGGAATTTTCTGCAAGGTAGCTCATACAGGGGGCATTCGACAATTATATGCTCAATCGTGTCCAGGGAGTTAAGATCACAGGGGCTCAGCCGTTCTTGTCTTGGGATTTGATAATATCTGCCATAGAGTATTCTAGAGGGAAATGTGTTAACCTCTGCGATGAAGAGGGATGTTGAGATTGTAAAAATATTGGGGCATCTTGCATAAATGGTTAGAGAGGCCGAGCATGGCAAGTGAACAGATATGAGGTTGGGTAGGGTGTAACTTTTGCAGATCAATATCTAAGAGTCGTTGTTTGATTAGTTTAAAAATATGAGGCTCATTGGTTAGGGTTAGGTTTTCAAGAGAAACACCAAGTTGACTTTTTAGATATAACAAGGGGGGGACCCGCGATACTC